AGACTTGCCTCGCAAGGGCAACCGTATTACATCGACGGGGACAACCGTACCGACGGCCGTAACAGCTCACATCGATAGGCTACATATTTCATATTCATACATAGATCATACCCATAAGAACCAAACATCATTCATGCACATAGACAATTTTAGATTAGAACCCACCTGGTATAGCAACGGAAATGGCACACAATCAAGAGTAGGCAGCGAGCACGGCTCGTCAAACACCTACAACAATTATATTACTAAGATCAACACTTTTGACCTTAGAGAAACATTCACAATTACTCTTGGTCGAACTTGGTTCAACCAAGTAGTTCGTGAAGTTCTGTGGACATTGGAACACTTGGACTTGACTCGACCAATCAAACGCAAATACACCAATTCAAGAAGGTCGGGGAACCTAATGAGTTAAGTTCTGAAACTTTAACATAAAATCCATCTCACTGGACTTAACAAAACCACCAAGTTTCAGCCCCAAACTCCATATACAAAATTTTATAAAATTCAAATACGGTATCAGCAAAAACAAGCATAAAATCCAAAGCCCAAACTAACGAACGAATTAGCACATAAGATTTTTACTGGAGGAAATTTAGCAATTAAGAATAAACATATAAAAATTCCAGCAATTTAATCCAAATACACAAATTATGAAAATTCATACAAAGATTCAGCAGTTATCGAGTTTTAATTAAAATCGAACCAATCCCAACTCCAAAAATTCCAATATTTTTACAACATGCTAGTACACATAAAACAAGTATCTCAGACAAAAATCAGAATTATTTAGCAAAGGGCCGATTTATCATAATTAAAACGTCTTTTTGCAAAAACATTAAATAAATTATTTACCCTATCAATATCCGTCTAAAAATTATAAAAAAATTTTACACAACATCATAAGCATATAGAAAGACAACATACTAAATTTTATAAAGTTTAGAGCACAACTCAATTTATTATGAATTAAATATGAATCTGACCAGAAATTACGATAATTTTTAAAAATAGCTACAAACCTCTGAAAATTATGAAATTTTTACACGAGCTATGATATTAACACAGGACATCACATATAAAATTTCACGGCAATCGGATCAGCATAGAATTTATTATGAATTTAATACGATTCAGCAGCTAATTCAGTTTCGAAAAATCATATAAGACTCGAAACACCAAATTCGTCCAAAGCCTTCGCCATGAGGTCAAGGACTCGACAATGTTCCATTATCCACTGCAACTTAATCACGAATTGACGAGGTCTCATTCGATTTCTCAAAATCGAAGAGCTCGTCTATACACATACTCATAATAAATCTAAATGTATACATAAAAGCATATAGCATACATATATATTCAGAGAACGTTCCAGCACATCTGATAAACACGAGAGTACAAACATTCATGACAAACACACGTAAAAATTAACGAAGGGTCGAGACTCGATACCGTTCTCGGGACGGGTACGAGAAACGAGCAACGTAAGGGTCGAACGGGCTTGCTAATGGGATCACGGGACCGCCGGGAGGCTGCTGGTCACGTTCGGGACTGACGGGGGCTGCTCGACGTCCT